CCCCGCATCTCTGCCCCCCCCCGCATCTCGGCGCCCGGGGCAGCCGCACCGGCTGCCCCAGGCTGTTACGCCACTGCTGTCACAGAGACAGCAGTTGAGGGAACATCATCCAGTAAGGAAACTTGTTCTGGTGACAACTGTTATAGAGGGGGGCATTCCCTCACTTAGGTGAGACTTCTGGGGCTAGGAAGTCAAAGGGCACTTTGGCTAGATGCTTGGGATGCTGAGGCTATGCCTAAGGAATGTCTGACTCGCTTGGCATTTAAGGGAAGGCATCCATTCCCTTAAATGGGGGCCTGCCCCTGACAATGCCATTCCTGATACCACTAGTGGTCACACTGTAGTCCTGCTTCAACACAGAAGGTCTATGGATGGGGCAGAGGAACCCCAACCTTCTTCATCTACTGAGAGAAACCCCAGCCTTCTTCTTCTCCTAATGCATTAGTAACTATGATTCCCATTGAGGGATACAGATCCCTTCTCTCTGTGTTTTTGTTCCTGTGTACTGCTTGCTCACAAAACTGTCTACAATTCCTGTGCCCCTCAATATACGTCAAGAAAAAACATCTAAATATTTGCTCCCTCTGGGCTCCTCCATAGATACAGTACAGTGAGTGGGCATTGTCACCCTGGGACAGGAAGTGTGTTACTAGCAGGATCACCAGCTAAAAATAAAGGTGAAGAAATGCTGAAAAAATATATTATTGTTTGTTACTGGGTTTAGGTACATTTTAACCTTTCCCTACTATAACTAACACTAAATAAAAATGTTTTCGCTTTACATACACATTAACACACACTGTTTGCTCATATTTAGAATTTGTAATTCTGTTTTCTGCATCATAATATCAGCTAGAGTTTGGAATCAAGACTTTTTTCCGAAACATCATCTTTCTGCACCTGGAGCTAACCACACATGTTACATTCTGACTGTACAATCTCTGTACAATTTCCTTTAAATTTACAAAAACTATGGTAGATGAGGAGCTACCTACTCTATCCATTCAATTTGTATCCAATCAGGTAGTCAGATTGTAATGTGAATTA